CGATCAATGGCCATTTTGTCCATTTTCGCAGTGTTTTTTGCATTCAACTGACTGTTGTCGGAAGGTCGTTTCACCTACAGCTACAAGATTCGAGGACCCGTCCATCGCCGCTTGCGGCTTTAACTATGTGTTGTTCCACCTTAATTCACTGAATGCCCCATGTCTGACCATTTTCAATTGGCCTGATTTTTGTTTAAGAGGTGTTTAGATAATGGATGGATGGATGGATAGATGTGTAAAATCTGGGTTCATAGGTACCATTAATATCTGAGTTAAAAATTCTTAAAGAGGGGTCGGGATCATGTTATTTTTTTGTGCCTTTTTCTTCCCACCAATCTGTGAAGCCATGTTTGAGGAGCCATAACTTGAGAAATAATGCAGCTAGAGTCCTGAAAGTTTGTAGACTCGTTGATATGGACACATGGTTCTTGGTGGTACAACCGTGCTTTGACAGAACAATACAAACCAGTTATATGATGGTGCAAATTTGGTCAAAAAATGTCCACGTTGTTTAAAAATCTGTTTTTAAATCTTTTCCAATATTCCACCAACCCTAAAACATTTATGGTTCAACCAAAGTGGCTAAATTTGTCCTGTGATTGGCACCAATAGAAGCTTTACATGTAAAGTATGGTGCCAGTCAGAGACAAACTTAATAATTAAGAAAAATAAATGTTTTTACTTTACCTCCTTTAAGAATTTAACTCAAACACTAAATGCTATCTATGATTTCAGATTTGACACAGTTTACATAATAACATACAAAAAAAGAAATCAAAAATATGATGATCAAGCATAATTTTTTTTTTTTTTTAGATTTGTTGATTTGAGGTGGAAGGACCCCCACACCATTTTCCCTCCCTTTCCTGCGCCACCATCCCCTCCTCAACTTACCTCACCTTCGTCAAGCAACACAATGCAGCCTCTCTAGCTAACATAGCATTAGCAAATGTAGCTAGGCCAATGTTACACACTTGTATGTTCCAGTGATCTTCTTCAACAAGCTCAAACAGACGCCTGCACATTGTCCAACTTGCAGAAAATCATTAATTGGTGCAAAGTTTTGGTGTTCGCCCTTCATCAGGCAAATATTTAGTTGCTTAATATTACCATGAAGAGTTTCTGTAAGTCTGAAATCAAGCTGTGGGTAGAAAACACATCATTGCAAAAAATACCACACCTCACGCCTCTGGATTCAACATTATTTATTGTCTCACTGTCTTTTGCCTCTTTACACGGAAACACGAGTTAGTGTGTGTTCATCTCAAAGCAGGAGGGCTACAGTATACGATGCATCCAACAAAGGTCCAGTGCAAAAATAACACAAAAAGAATCATCTTTATAAATGGTACAGGAGGGCAAATATATATATATATATATTCTCAGATACATTTCTATATAATATTTGGTCTTATATAATCTCTTTAGAATTTGTACAGGAACACAAGTGTCTGTTGTGTCAGAAAACACCAGAAGCCTCCTACAGCGATCCTTCAGCTAACGGTCGGGAAGTAAAGTTTAAAGTTCGACCACAAGGTAACTTCTTGGATAAATCTCTTTTTTTTGGAAAAATATCACATTTCAAAAGATCATCAGTTAATTATAAATGGCTATCAGCTTTTATAACGCAAGCAGGAGGATTATTTTGGGATAAAATTTGATATAAAGTTGAATATTTAAAAAACACTATTCAGTACAATCACTGTCACTCTCATATCGTTGCTCTTCTTCTCTTCACCACAACCATCATTACATCTACATTATCTAAATAAATTAAGCCTCTTTACACTCCACATAAAAACATCCACGTTCCTTCTACGAACTGACCACCTGACTTAAACCACCGGCCTTCTTCTCCTTTAACTCCATCCTTTCTCCACTCGCACACCAAATTCTGGCTCAATGAAAAACCTGTTTCCAATCTACATCACACCCTCCTACGCAAACGTTCTCGCTTTAAATCCCATCGGCAGACTTTTTGTTAATACGCAGGCTGGGAAAAACAACAGTTTGCACCTAATTGAATATTGAAATAAAAAAAATCTGCATCATTCTTTGTCCTGCTTCAGCAAAAAGAGAGAAAAAGAAGCAGAGCTGGGTCCATTTACGGTTACTTTTAACTATAAAATGTTGTGTTTTAGAATAAGTAGTGGATCAGAAACATGAGGAATCAGTGGATATGATCTTGTGGATAAAATATCAATCATTTGCCTGACAGAAACAATAAAAAGAGTGGAAAGCCGTAGAGAGAAGAAGTAACGGGAACAAAGAGGCAGGAAGTGGTGAGAAAACGCCGCAGAGAGTTGAGGATAAGACGCAGAGGGAAGGAATGTGAGAGGAGACGTGCTGAGAAAAGGAGTTTGTGGGAGAGCTGGAGACGTGAGTCACTGAAACAGAACCTATCATGATGTGAACCGGTGGAAGGTGTGGGAGGAGGAGGAGAAGTGATCTCCCTCCGTCTCATTACTGATACAGAAACAGAAGTCTGCTTCTAACGAGGCTCAGGGATGATGATCGACCTGAACGTGCAGCACATCGCCGGGCGAGACGCCGGTCAGGATTCACTGAAGCAGGACGGAGAATGATGCAGATTGAAACAACAGTCGTGTTGGTGAGACGAATATGATGGCGGGTTTACGACGACATAGCAAAATAAACGCAGAAAATACATGTTTACTGGATTTTAACAGTAGAAAGGTGCAGGAACCTGTTTCTAACACACTGAATATTCCCTGTGATTAATACTGTCGCTGTATTATAACTGCACAGAACAATTTAAGTGGGTTTAAACTAACACAACATGGCTTTAAATACTAATCAGAGTTTGCAAAATAATCAATCTCAACTGGAACAGAAGCAAGAAGCTGATAAACGAATGGCTGAATTTGTTAAGTAACCTTAATAATTAACTTTACATCAACACTAACAGAGTGTTGGTTTAATGAGTGCAGTCGTCTAGTTCCTGGACATTGTCTCTCTATGTTATTATTTTTAACGTAAAGCAGAAGCTGAAACCTCTGTGCTGGTTCAGGATCAGCTCTGATCCGGCCTCCCGTCCCATCTGGACTCTGCGATGGCCGGGTTCTTGTTTGGGAACCCGACCAAACCTGCCGATTCCAACCGTCTAACAGCTGAGCAGACCGAAGCTGAGCCCAAACCAACACAGAGGATAAATGTGACGGGAAATAAAGTCTACATCTGAATGAATTTATGCAAATACTAAAACTGTATTAGAATTACTATTAACCTCCAAATTTGTTGGCAGTTGTTTCCAAAAATCTTTGAATCTATGCAAATATTAGCTCAACGTATGTGAAGTTAACTTGTGTTTTAATCTCATGTGTGAACGCGACACACTTTGTTCTAATCAGCCTGTAAATTCATGCGCTGTAGCCACGATGAGCTATCTGGTCTGCTCTGGTGCTTCCCACTGAAAACAAATGAGACATTTGGTACAAACGTAGCAATAAGACAGTCACAGAGTTCAATTTCCAGTTTAAAATATTCTCACAGAACCAGCTGTAAATATTTCCTCTCAAGTCTAGAATAAAAACTAAAAGTATCGCTGAATATAAAACGTTTTGGCGCGACGGTCGGCAGCCACAAAGAGTAAATGCAGAGCAGAGGATAATGTGACAGACGGATATAATGACAATGGATAAATTCACATTTGAAGGTAAAGACCAATTATCTCTTTACCTTTAGCATACATAAGCATACATGTGAACAAATACCCTGCAGATCTCTTGTTTAAATTTGGCATCAGTCCTGGGGGACGTTCAGGCCGACGGATGATCTCATTATTTTATAACATGATTCTGGTTTCAAATCAGAAAGTCAGTTGTGAATTTTCCCTCACTGGAAGCATCAAAGCTCTCATCTTTGGTTTCCTGCTTTGAAGCTCGTCGTGTAAATGACGGCAAAATATCATTAAAAACACAAACGATATGATACAACGGGGCGATGTCACGTCTTCCAGCCCGACTCATCGCATCTCCTCAGGTCCCAACACTTGGGTAGTGTAACAAATACTGATCCAGAGGCTTCCATCTCTTCAACGCTGACTACAGAATGGCTTTAAAACGTCTCCTCTTTGAACCTTCAAAGCAGGATGTTGAACAGAAAACATGAACAAGATGACTATTGTGCAAAAACACCTGACGTCTGGAAACCAACCACAAAAAAAAACAGACTTCACATTTGATCTTTCCAACCAGGAGCCTGAACCGGAGCCTTCAAATTCACTGTCAGTAGCTCGTCGTCAGGCGCTCAGAGAAGGTGGAGACGACAAGTGTGAAGTGTGTTCTGGGGGCTGAGTTCCACATTCATGAGCCTATCGTTCTGTACATAGAGATGGCTTTTCATTTAGAAAATATTTAGAAAACAGTGCATCTTACAAGAGTATTTACATCCTAAGCTGCTGTACAAAGAACCACGGAGAAGCCTGTTACTGTGGCGCTGTGCTTGTTTCTTATCTCTACATCAGGACTGTGGCTTCTACAGCAAAGTCAGAGGCTCTGTTGTAGAGGAATAAACCGCCTGGTCCAGGTGTGTGAAGGTGGATGTGATACAAACACAAACTCGCCTTTAATGCAAAATGTGATGCAGCAAATATACCGAGAGATTATTTTACTATTGGTGAAGAAAAACCTGACGTACTGCTCTGCTTCAATCAAAAATAAATAGTTTTACATCTTAAGAATACTGATTGATCTGTTTAAGAAATAATACTGACTTGAAAGGGAAATACTTCTCACACATTACTTCATAGTCATCAACAACTTAATTTGTTTGGGTTCTTGAACACTGATTATAGCAGTAATGAGGAAACTAAACTCAACTGAAGGCCTTCAGAAGCGTGGAACAGTTTTGAGGTATTACAGACGGACTGGTCTTGATCTGGAAACTGACTGAAGGGACAGAATTCGGGATAAAAAGTGGAATGACATGAAGTAGCTGATCTACTCGTTGAAATGCCCAGACGATGCTCAGAGAGTGAACGAGGTTAATGGAGGACGGTTCAACGCCGGCGTGAGAATAACATCCAGGTGGAATGACTCCATCGGGTGAGGAGGAGGCAGACGATCCAGTGAAACGTCACAGCTGGGCAACGTTAGAGCAAATGTGAGTTAAGAAGTGATGTACACACGATTAGTGGATACAACCGAGTCCATGGGGGGGTTAACTGATCCAGGAGAGATGAGCTGAGCTGGAGTCCTGAGGCCAGATGTCAACAGGTGTTTGTTTGAAAACTCCAAACAATCATCCAAATCCAGTTTTTCTTCTGGTGGATGTGGATAAAACGGCACAGAAACAGTGTTTGTGGACGTGAAGCCATGAGACGGACTCAGGTTACAGATGTCAGTTATACCTTCTGACATTTCTGTGGATGGATGCAGCGACGTCAAGCTGAATATTAGGTCCAGATTTTTGTGCTGTGATCAGCCGTCAGTAGTCACGGATGGAGTGATTCAAGCTTTTCTCCTCAACCATGGACATATCTACACATTTACATGAAAACTACACAGACTGAGGATGGAGGAATAGATCCGTGTGCGGCGTCCGCTGCTCATGAAGGCTTCAGCAGGCCGATCCAGATTAACGACGGCAGACCCGACCGGCTGATCCCAGAGTCACCAGGTCCAGTCGTTACCAGCTGAAGAGCGAGTTCTGTCCCAGAGTCATGAAGTAGATCTGACTGCTGCCTCCCGACTGCACTGAAGCGAAGAAGACCTGCACCAGGAGAGAGTTTAGGAAGGATTAGGAACGACACTCAAGGCTCAAAAATAAGGAAAATATTTGACTCTCTGAAACAGACAAATAGTCTCGTGAAACTTTAATGCAACACGTCGTATTTAGTTTCACAAATTCACTGCAAAACTAGAAATATTTTTTAACACTGACAGGTAGAACTTTAAGGTTTAAAGTATGAAGCTAATGGCTTATCAATAGAAACAACTAGTAAATATGAAGATTCAAACCAAGTTAATGGAACAATACATTAATTGGTTCGTGTTGGTGGAATTTGTTCAACTTATCTACAGGAAATATCTTCATTATGAATGCAACACAAAAAAGTTGGGCCCTTTTCCTGCAATTTAATTTAAAAAAAATAATCAAAAAGATAAAAAAAAGTTTGGAAAAACTCTTAGAAATACACAGCTTGTTTTAAAAAAGCCCAACAGGAAACAAAAAGTTCAGCCTTGTGACATTCAGACTTGTTATTTGAAAGCTTATTTTGTAGAAATTACATATTTATAAATGTTTTTAAACAAAATTCTTGTTATTTTATTTAATTCTTTAAGATATATCAGATGCGTACGTATTGAAAAGATGTCAGGCATCAAATGACTGCGTTAAGCGTTAGGATTTACTCAGTGTCCTCTTACCTTGTCGTTCCTTTCACACAGGAACTTGAGTTTTTGGGCCTTTTTGTGCATGAAGACTCCCTCCAGGTTCCCGGTGTTGGCTGATCTCAGCTCGATGGCCTTTTCTCCCCAACCCATCACCTGGTTAGACTGAAGGTAGGCTGCACAGAGAGACACGGAGGCAGAACACAGCTGTGAGACGACAACCTCAAATAAAAGAGGATTTATATCCCTACACATAAGACTGAATACTGTCCATCTGTCCTGTAAACACAGGACCAGAGGTTAGACTCCAGTCAGTTACTGTTAGAGGCCTTCATCAGAGACATCTCTTCTTGCTGGAACATGATGGAAAACCTTCAACCTTTCGCAATAACAATTTAACAGAACTCTATAATTCTCCTGCATCACAACAACTTTCTAACATGGAAACGTGTCCACCAAAGAAACCAGCAGAACAAGCCGTCCAGCCTGATCCTCAGCAGGACGGAGCAGCTGCAGAATGTACAGGAGAACCAGAACCAGCAGGATCCCAACCTACACATGAACAACCAGAGAGGCTCTTAAGGACTCGCAAGAAGGAAAATTAAAAGCTGGCCACGGACAAGGAGGTTAGAGAGAACGAGCTCATCCAGACACTTCCTCCTGATCTGTGGAAGATGAACTGAGCGTTGAATCGAAGTGAAGAAACTCAGCAAAGAACCGCAAACACCACAAGAGGACAAACATGCAAAGATAGAGGCTGAGAAGAAGAAGAAAAGAAAGAAGAGGAGAAAAAGAAGGAGATGAAGGAGGTAAAGGAGAAAGAAAAGAAGAGGAAGAAAGAGGAGAAAAACAAAGAACTGAGACAAAGTAAAAGTGAAAAGAAGAGGAATAACGTCTGTTCTGCTCCTTCTAACAACCGTCTGCTGCTTTTCCACCTTGTTCTGTGTCTGTTGGTTTATTGCAAGTAATAATACTGTGATGATACTAATAATAAATAACTAAATTAAAAAGAAAAATAAAGGTGACATTATCTGCCTGTCTTTGTTTGACTGCAAATAAAAATTAAAATATAACCTTCATTTCAATTTTAAAACATGTCTTGACAGTAGAAGACTGTTTTCTTTTTCTGTGATATTATAACATAACAGCTGAAATAAAGTTGTGACACTTTAAGACTAATGTAATAAAACAGCAACAAGGGAGCCATACTTAACTTTAAATGCACTTTCCAACTTAATTAAAGGTCTATGCATTGAAAACACTTGAACTGAAGGTCTTGAGTATTTAGAAAACTTCTATTTAAAGCAAAATGTTCTAATCTCATTTAAAAATCTCACAGACCTGCAAGTCTTCCGGGTTATTGATGAATACATGGATATTAATTTAAATACTAGAGAACAGTCGCTTGTATGAAGTGTTGCCTGAAAATGCTTGAAACCTACAGTTCTACAGTTTCTCCAACCAGACGGCAGCTTCAGTCAACGTTCAACCATCCAGTAAACTCCTCTAAGAGCTACTGATGGAGACTTAAAGTACCAGCGCTAACACATCTGTCTGTCTGATGTGTTACAGACCCACAGAATGACCAGCATCTTATTTTTAGCCCATCTTGTCCCAAATGTGTCTCCACAGAATCTAGTTCAGGTTCTCAGCTGCTGATCCAGAACCAGCAAGTCAGCGTGCAGAAACACTGCAAAGACATTCTGCTGGAACTTCACTGTAAAATCTAACTTTGTATGTAAAGATATCACCTTTATGTGTTTGTGTGTGTATTCAGTAATATAAGAGG